GGGGGATGGGGGTGGAAGTCACGATCTTAATCCTGCATTTCATGTTATTTCTGCTGTCACTGAAGGAGGTGGTAGGCAGAATAGGATTCTGCACCTATGTGAGATTCAGAACCACAGCGGTTTTACCTTCTCTGCGAATAAGCAGGGCTGAATTCATTTGGGTAGGAATTTTCCAAGAGAGGTCAAGAGCCACTCTGATAAAAGGGCTGGTGATGGATCAAGTGGTCCAAACCTCCCTGCATCCTCCAGCCCTGTTAGTGATTTCTAATCAAAGTTTAACAGGCAAGAGTCTGAGATTTGGCCTGAACTGGGGTTTCTCCAGATCCTTTGACTGTCACACACTCTTAGGTGGTCGCCTTTGGAGGGAGTGTTCATGCCTTAACTCCCCAGTGTGAAGAAGCTGCCTGTCCAGCCTCAGGTCAAGGTTGAATGGCACAGGCTCCTGACACCTGGGGAAGAGGAAGTGCGGGAAAAAGGGAATAAAGGCAAACTGGAAAACGTGAAGGGGGGAGAAGGGATGTGGAGGAAGGAGGAGGAGGAGGGGACAGTCAGGGTTAAGGAATCCCAAGACACACACATTCTATTATACCAGAAGTCTAAAGTCCCCCCACCGGCCCTCCCCCCTGCAGGGGCCACTGATGGGAGACTGGGTTTGATTCCAATCAAGAATTCCCAAGCCTGGCTGGATGTCAGAACTGGCTGGGTATTCACTCAAAACATCCCAGATGCTCCCCTTGGCCATCCAATTCAAATGCTCTAGCTGGGGCTGGGGGCATGGTTCAGTTGGTAGAGTGCTTGCATAGCATGCAGAAAGCCCTGGGTTCCAGCACTGCATACACAGGTGTGCTGGTGCATACCTACAGTTCCAGCACAGGGGAGGTGGAGGCAGAAGGATCAATTCAAGGTCATGCTCAGCTATACAGCTCTGTAAAAACCTTCCCATGATGGGTGTTGGGGAAGGAGCCTAAGGGAGGCTTTGAGATGCTTTTAGATTCTGAGCCCTGGGGAAGCTGCTGACTACACCCGCAGAGTGGGTTTGGAAAACACATTGAGATGTATGTGAACGACACATGAATCAATTTCCGGGTGTCCTATTTTCCTAAAATATTAACAAAACAGCTAAACTTCCTCGAGCGATTCTGGCAGCACGCCTAGCTAGAGTTTCTCAAAGGGCAGCTCTGGAACCACCTGCCTCCAATGGAAAGCCAGCCGCAGGACTCAGCCAAGACCTTGTAACTTAAACTCCAGCAGTGATATCCGGAACAGGCTTCTTTACACACACGCCCCCCAGGTGCTCTCACACAATACTGGCTTTTAAAACCTCGGCTGTCTGCTGCCAAATGGTTGAGACCGACCCTTCAGCCACCACAGGCTTCCCTGCAGAAAACCTCCGGCAAAACACAGAGAGGGGACTCCCTTTCCTCCAGCCTCAGCCGGTGCGCCCTGAATGGAGTCACTAAATCTGAGCCATAGTCTCCCTAACTCAAGCTGATGGGTCTCAAAAGGGTCAGCCAGGCCAGGTAGGGTGGTGGTGATCTGAAGTCAATGTCACTTTCATTTTCTGTGTTTGTGTGTGTGTGTGTGTGCGTGCGCATGTGTGCTGGTGCATATACACGTGTGGGAAGTCAGAGTTGATATCAGGTGTCTGATAAATAAAACAAAAAATCAGGTATTTTTTAAATGTGTACGAGTGTTTAGCCTGCATGTAAGTACATATGTGCAATGCCCATGGAGGCCAGGAGATGGCTGCAGATTTCCCTAGAACTGGAGTTACAGATGGTTAGGAGCCACCACGTAGGTGCTGGGACTCAAACTCAGGTCCTCTGCAAGATCAGCCAGTGCTCTTAACTGCTGAGCCATGTCTCCAGCCCCTCCAGCTTCTTTTTTTAAGGGTCTCCAGTAGCCCCAGCCCCTCCTGCAATTCACTATTGTAGTCTAGGCTGGCCTTGATCTCACAGAGATCTGCCTGCCTCTGCCTCCAGAGTGCTGGGATTAAAGACATGCACCACCACACCCAACATCTTCCATTGTATTTTTTGACAGCATCTCTCACTGAACATGGACCTGGCTGATTTGGCTAGACTGGCTGGCCAGTGAGCTCCATGGATCCTCCATCTTCACATCCTCAGCACTGGGATTGCAGGTACATGCTGCTGTACCTGGCTTTTTACACAGGTGACAGGGATCTAAACTGACGCCCTCATGCTTATATGGTGAGCACTTTATCAGACTGAGGCTCCTTCCCAGCTCACATCAGTTTCCCTTCACCAGTGCCAAACTAGTCCACGGTCTGGGTCTTCATGCCAGGCATGCTGGGTGAGTCTTGTCAGAAACCTGAGTTCCTGGGGGACCTTAGTGTAGAGTTTAGGCTCAGAGGAGGACACATGGGTGTACGCATAGCCTGGCCTTCACTGGAGGCTGTACAGTTCCACTCTCCAAACCCCAGTCTCAAACGTAGAAGGGACTGATGACTCACATGGAGCCTGGCACACAGTAGGCTCCTTACAGCACTGACTGTTCCCATGTGCGTGACAGCCAGTGGCCATCCTGGGCTTATTGTGTGCCAACCATGAGCTAGGTGCTGTTATATCTACCACCTAGTTTATTCCTCAAACCCACTCAAGGAAGGGGTGTCCTCATTCTCTAGGCTATAAAAAAAGCAGCAGGAGCTTGGAGAATTGAGATAACACACCCAAGGGCACACAGCTAGAAAATGATAGAGCTGGGGTTTGAACTATGTTGGGTCTACATCTTGAGCCAATACCCACAGGCTGTGGTACAAACAGCAGCAGGACAAGCAGCTCACACGTCCCTAGCACTGCCTCCACGTCAGGCTCTTTTCAGTGAGCACCATTCGGACAACAGCCAGCCCACAGAGAGGTTAAGAAGTTCTCCCCAGTCATCTGACTGGAAGGTGGCAGAGCAGGGATTTGAACTCAGGCAGTCGGATGCCCCACTTTTTGCTCTTAGCCACAACTGTATTCTACTGCAATTTTCAAAGTTGCAGAAAGTGGCCAGACCTTGATTGGCATCCCACGATTAAACTGTGAAACTACCGCCTGTGTTGTGGTAGTCTGTGGCTTTCTGCCTGATTAAGATATGCCGGTGAGCCTCTGTGGGAGTCCACATGGAGGTGGGCAGTGTGGGCCAGGCAATGCATCCTTAACCCTCACCATTGCAGGAGCAGTTCCTCCCCAGGCGGTGCCGTGGTGTCAGGATGCTGAGCCTAGCTGTGCTGTATGTGGGTCCCACCCTGGGCTCCAGGGTCACTGTCTCTTGGCAGGTTTGTTCCTGGCAACTTGGCCCCTGGCAGGGCACCACGGGCAGGGCTGACCTCATCTGAACTCCCACCGAGTGCTCCATCTCCTTGGCCGAACGAGCAATGATAGAAGCTAGCTCCTGGAGGTCATAGAAGGTTCCGGAATGTCCCTTGAAGACCAGGAGCACGTCCACCCCAGCCGTGGCCTCCGCGGGCTGCAGGCTGGCCAGGTGGATGTCGGTCCGTTTGATGTCCAGGGTGTTGCTGAGGAATCTCTGAAGGTTACGCCAGTGGTCGCTCACCAGCTCTTCGGGGGTGAGCTGGTGGAAACCCAGCCGCACGGCTTGCTGCAGGGCCTCCTGCCCCATGTGCCACACGTGGACGTGGACCCTGGCGGTGGTGGTGAAAGTCCCATCACTGACTGTGACGTTGAACGAGTAGTGGCCACGAGGCAGCCCCTGGGAGGCGATAATCTTGCCATCGGGTGGGCGCACTGAAAAGTGCCTGCCCGGGCTCTCCGCCTGGCTGAGGCTGTAGGTCAGCGTGTCCTGGGGGTCTCCATCTGTAGCATGGATTTTACCCACCATGCCACCTTGGAACTCCTCCTCCCCAACAGTGATGAAGATCTCTAGGGGAAGGGCGGAGGGTGGGTGGATGCTTTGCTCCGTGACCTGGACACTGACCAACGTGGAAGATGACAGGGGCGGGAGGCCACTGTCTGATACCTGTGGGCAAGATAAACACTGCAGTCACCCAACAGAACTGTGGTGCCTCCGTGCCCAGCCGAGGCCTGTCCCCTCCGCTAGCCTCGTCTCACTTCCTTGTGCCCACCAGGGGCAGGCACAACACGTTGTCTCTGGGCAAAAACAAAATAACTCAAAAGTGCAGGTCTGTGCTACAGATTTCTCTAAAGGTTTGGTAGAAAACTGGGCTGGAGAGATGGCTCAGAGGTTAAGAGCACTGGCTGCTCTTGCAGAAGACTTGGGTTTGGTTCCCAGCACCCACATGGCAGCTAACAACCGTCTGTAACTCCAGTTCCAGGGGATACAACACCCTCTTCTGACTCTGAGGGCATTGCACAACACAGGTGCGCTTACACACATGCAGGCAAAACACTCATACACATAAAAATAATAAAAGGTTATGTAGAAAATGGGGCAGAGAGTTGTATTCCATAGCAAGCTTAAAACAACTCAACTTCCATCTGCCTCACAGGCTCTGAGCCTCTTCCTAGTTCCTCCAACCACACATTCTTGTGTGTAAATATTTCTGCAGATGTTTACACACGTGTTCATGTATGTGTATGTGTGTGTACCTGTATATGGAGGATAGAATGTTGTTCCTCAGGCACTGCCCACCTTGCTTTATGAGGCAGGGTCTCTCATCGGTCTGGACCTCATCAAGTAGGCTAGTCTGGGTGATAGGTGTTAAGGTTCAGATAGCCCTGCCCCCTCACCAACAGGGCCTCACAAACCTCCTTGCAAGCCCCTGAGAAAAAGGAACCAAGTTGATAAACACCTTGGTCTTTGAAGTCAAGAGAAGCAGACTTTTCTCCACTGTTTGGCCAACACAGCAGGCTTCCCCTTTAATCTCTAAAGAGGGCAGGTTTTAACAGTCCTGCTCCACCTCCCCCACCACCTAACTTAAAAAAAATACATCTTCCTGCCTTCTGCACCCCCCAGAAGCCTCCCCCTTTAAAAGAACCCAGCTCACGACCCAGGCAGACATTTTCCCTGCCCGGAAGGGAATCTGTCCCATGTGTTCCTTTGCTAATAAACTCTATTTTGATGGAGTTTTATCTGTGTCCTGGTGCTTTCTCCCGATTAACCGGATTCATCCATAGGCTACTTTATCTATGACTAGGTGACAAGTGAGAGATCTTAAGTCAGGTGGAAGGAAGTCTCTGAAGAGGGATGACAAAAGGGAGCAGCACGTGCAAGGGTCCTGGGGTGGGGAATAAGTGGCGTGCTCAATTAAACAGGATACCCTGGAGCCAACGGGCAGGGCAGAAGGCTGGGGTGAGGTGGAGGGGAAGGCTGGGATGGCCTCCCAAACAGGATGAAGAGCACAAGACTGGATCCCATGCCATAGCCATGGAAAGCCCTTGAAGGCTTTAACCAAGCGGGACGTGACTTTGTTGAGCTGGAGGAATATTCTAAATCAAAGAACTCCATCTTCCGGGTCAGGATGGTAGCCCAGTGGTAGGGCACCTGCCTTGTGTGTGTGGGGTCCTGGGTTCAAACCCTGGTACCGCACAAAGGAAAACAAACATGTCTTCTCACCATGTCTCAGCACACACCCCTGCGACTTCCTGCCCAGTTTACCAGGCTGAAGCTTGCTCCCCTGTACTCTTTACCTGCCCCGCAGCCTTCCCTCCAGCAATAGCTATTCACATGCATTCCAGCACTTTGAGTGCACAAGGAATCGAGTGCTGGCCGTGGAGCCTACCACTGGAGTGGTACCAACAACAACAGTGATGATCACTACTCCTCCTAACGATAGTGCACACCCACTGCAGCAGTATATAACACCATCACCAAGTAAGATAGCTGGCTACCATGAACCCAGTGCAGACCAGCAGAGGCCACTTCAAAGGCTTTAAATGCACGGTAGTAACTTATCTTATGAGACAGGTACCACTTTACAAAAATAGAGGCTCAAAGAGGTCAAATGACTTGCCCAAGGTCACACAACAGGTACGGGCTGAGCAGAGCCTGACCAGCTGTGCCAGCCTCTGACAGTGGAAAAACAGAGCAGACATGACAGAGAAATGATGCAGTGGTCCCCAAGTACCTGTCTGGAGCTGGGTCTGAGGATACGGCAGGTAGAGAACTGTTGTTTCTTTGCACATTTGTGCCTTCAACCTTGAAGACCCATGGAACTGCTGAGCCCCATTGGATGCCTCACTTAGATGTCTCTCAGGTGTGCAGATCAGAGCCTCCGTTTACCCCCTGTCCCGGTTAGCTTTAACTGTCAATTGGACACAACCTAGAGTTATCTAGGAAGAGAAGGTAACTGAGGAACTTCCTAAATCAGATTGGCCTGTGGGTGTGTCTGTGGGGGATCGTCTTGATTGTTAATTGATGCAGGGCCCAGCCCATGGTGGGTGGCAGCATTCTCTAGGCAGATGACCTTGAACTATGTAAGAAAGCTAACTGAGCTTGAACCATCCTGCCAGTCAGCGCTCGGCATCCTCCACGGTTCCTGCTCTACGTCCTTGGCTTCCTGGATAAAGATAATGCTGAATGGATAGCAAGCAGAGCTGCTTTGACTTCCAGCCTTGATTTCCCTCCGTGATGGACTGTGACCTGGAAATGGAAACTGAAACGAACCCTTCCCACCCTTAAGTCGATTTTAGTCAGGGTGTTTCATCACATCTATGGACAGGAAACTGGTCCTGCCTCCCGCCTACCCTGAGGCTTTTCTGCGGTCATAAATGGTCACACTTGGAGACGCATCCTGATTCTTCACTTTTGATTCCAGCCCCGCATCCAATCCATCACCAAGTCCCGTCTGTTTAGATGCTAACTACGTTGCCACATGCATCTTCCTCATCCTGAGATCAAAGCTCCCCTATCTCCAGCCTACAGGACTTCTCAACGTCCTCCCTCACCCACTCTGCTGAGCTTCTGGGGGGTGAGGTCCCTTCCCTTTCTAAACCCCTTCAGCCATGACTCGTGGCACTTACATTAGAAACCAGAAGTATATGCAAGGCTTAGAATTAGTGTGGCTGGGACCAGCAAGATCAGTGGGTAAAGGTGCATGCCGCCAAGCCTGACGACCTGAACTGGATTTCCAGGACCCACATGATGGAAGGAGAGACCTGACACCACAAATTATCCTTTGACCGCCACACATGTGCTGGGGCATGTGTGCACGCCCCCCATACACATATACAATAAGTAAATGTAAAAATTTATTTTTATTTTACGTATATGCATGTATTGCCTGCATGTAGGTAAATGCCCTCAGAGGACAGAAGAGGCTGTCAGATCCCCTGGAACTGGAGTCACAGACAGTTGTTAGCTGCCATGTGGGTGCCGGGATTCGAACCTGGCTCTTCTGCAAGAACAATCAGTGTTCTTAACTGCTGCGTGTAAAAATGTTTTTTATAAGAATTAGAATGACTGCTCATCCTGGCTTGCCAAGGAGAGCCTTGACGAGTTTCTGCTGTGGATGGATTGTCACCAGTACTTAGTGTTTGTGTCCCTCTAAAATCCAAACTTGGAACTTGAATCCCCAGTGTTTTTAAGGGGGGGTCTTTGGGAAGTAATATTTCCCTATATAACTCAGGTTGACCTTGGACTACAATCCCCCTGCCTCAGCCTCCCAAGTCTTGTGATCACAAGTATGTGCAATCTTTTTGTTTTAAGACAGAATCTCACTATGTAGCCCATACTGCCCTGAACTAGCTATGTACCTCAAACTGGCCTCACACTTAGCTTCCTCCTGCCTCAGTCTCCTGAGGATCACAGGCATGGAACCCCACGCTGGCCTGAAGGGATTGGTGCCCCTGTGGGAAGAGTCAGCTGGCTGGCCTGCTATCCGTTCTGCAATGTATACTCTGAGGAGGTCTTTCACCAGGATCTACCCACAATGGCACTCCAAACTTGGCATTCAGTGTCTAGAATTGTGAGAAATCAAACATCTTTATTCTTCACTGCCCCCAGACTATGGTGTTCTGATGCAGTAGCCAAACGGACTCAAACAGCACCTCTGTCACTTTCAAGAGGTCACAGGTTGGACCTCAGCTAGTAGTCCACGAGTCCTACCCTCATGATCGACCAGCCGCAGCTCTTCAACTTCCTGCCTGCCATCGCTCCCTCTTTCCTGATCACAGGTCACTTCAAACTCTCTCCCAACTCAAGACCTTGCTCTTCCTGCCTGGAACTCCCTCCTTCCTGCCCACTCTTCCCTGGGCCTCCCAGGTCTCCACTCAGATGTCACCTGCGTGACAAATACATGTGTTCCCTGTGTCTTAGGAGTCTCTTGTCACTTTGTTTCCTTGTCTTAAATCCCAAGGATGTGTTTTCCTCTTTACTCCTGTTTATCTCCAGAATGGAAAACCCACAAGGACAGGTGCCATCCCCTGGGTCCCTTGCTGTTACCAGCAGCTGGTGTAGCGCCTGCTGGGGGTGATGGTGTTATCTGTAATTCCAACCCTAGGCAGGTAGAGATAAGAGGATTCCTGGGGCCGCTGGCTAGCCAGCCTTGCCTATCAGCAAGTTCCAGGCCAGTGAGAGACCCTGTCTCTAAAAACAAACTGGGCAGCTCTCGAGGAAGGACAGCTGAGGTTGTCCTTAGGCCACCACAAGCACATATATGCACATACACACAGCTGCACACACGCACAAACCTGCACATACATGTACACATGCACACACATGCACCCGTACATACATGCACACATGTACACACATGCACATACACATACATAAGACTATGAAGATTTTGCAGAGCTCAGTTTGGAGTCTCTGGCCCAATTCCAGTGCACATGCCCTCCACACACCTCTTCCTAAGCACAGCAGCCACCCCCCGCCCCACAGCCACCTCCTTGGGTCCACACAGTGCTCACCTCTATCTGAAGCTGATACCATTCCTGGGCCCTCCTGCTCAGGCCCGCAGCCGTCACCAGCCATCCATCTGGAGTCACCCGGAACACGGAGCCAGCATTCCCCTTGGTGATTCGAAAGGAGTAGGGGGGCCCATTCTCTGGGGAGTCGGAGTCACTCAGGATCAGCTGCAGCACTTTGACACCAATGGGGGAGTTTTCCTGAGACCGAGAGTGACAGGAAGCCAAGGGGTGTGTAAGTCACAGCCCCTCTGGTCACCCATTTCTGGACCCTGTCATTCAGGGACTAGTCCTGGTCCCTCTGACCCCAGGCTAGACCCATTCTGTTTCCTAGAGCTTCTGGCTTCTCAGTGTTCACTAGGTATTCCTGAGAACAGCACTGGGCCTTAGATGAGCTCCTCAACACCAAAGACCGAGCCCTTTATCCAACAGGGGGTCGTGGCCCATGCACACAGCTGATGAACTCTTAGTGCATCGTGGATGTGGGACTGGGCATTAACTACCACTCGGCAGGCTCACCTGAGAATGTTCAAGAGAGCTATTGGCCAGAGGAGCAATAGCTGATGAACTCTTAGTGCATCGTGGATGTGGGACTGGGCATTAACTACCACCCGGCAGGCTCACCTGAGAATGTTCGAGAGAGCTATTAGACAGAGGAGCAATGCAACACACATTTAATGAGCAAAGTCTGAGATGACTGGGAACTGAACTAAGAAAAACTGGCCTCAAAGCATGATGGTAGCCTTTGTTCTAGAACACAGGAAGTCGGCATGCTGGAGTGCTAACCGTCTTTATATTACCACGGTCTATCTACAAACAGAACCAAAGGGACAGACCCTGATGGTTGCTTATCCAACAATCCATATTTCTTCCTCATAAAACACATCTTTAGTTCAGGACAATATCCTTATCAAAGACACCCCCCTCTTAGAGAAGATGGACTATTACTCCCCAAGTCAGCGATAACCACCTGATTCCCTGGGGCAGTTTTTGTTTAAAGTTGAGCACGTGATTCAATTTTGACTACTGGAGAAGTTTGGCTGGTGGGGTTTCTGAAAAGTCTCCTTTGAGACAAAGTAGACAGTTCCAAAGAAATCCCCTTCTATTTGCGCTGAAGATGACTGGGCAGCAGCGCCACCATTTTGAGACCAGGAGGGCGAAGGTGTTTCAAAGGCTGCGCTACGGTGCTCTTTTCCTACTGAAGCAATCAGTTCTGGGATTTCTTCCCACCCAGCCTCTTGTTATATGATATTACCATTAAGTCCTTATTAATGAATGAACTTTTAAATGGGCGCTTGTCACTTGAAGGCTGGCAACCCTCCCGGGTGTAAGCCCCAAGCTCGCCACACTCTAGCTGTGGTATATTTCTGTACTTATATTTTTTAATGTTTTGGGAGAATAGTGTCTCGTGTAATCCAGGCTGGCCTTGAGCTCACTAGGTAGCCAAGTGTGACCTTGAACTTCTGATCCTCCTGCCCTTTACCTCCCAAGTGCTGATACTACAGATATGTACCACCAGGCCCAGTTTTACGCTGTGCTGGGGCTTAAGCCCAGGGCTTCATGCGTGCTAGGCAGGCACACTACCCACTGAGCTACAGCCTAGTCCCTGTAACTCTCTTTTTTATTATTAACTTTTAGCTATCATACAAAATAATGGGTTTCATGATGACATTTTCATATTTATGCATATCCTTAGAGCTTGAGCCTCTTCACCCCTCACTGCCTGCCCAGTCCTTCCTTCCCTGTCTCACGGCTCCCCTCAGTCTTCCTTCTCCTTTCATAGTTTATGTGCGCATAAACATACATACATAAATATATGTTACTCTATCGACTGCACATGAGGATCAATGTTGTATGTCTGAAATCTGAGAAACAGGGGCCACCTACTTCACACGACTGTGATGAGCCCCAAATGGGATAGTGGTCACAGAAGTGCCTAACAACGGGGCCTGGTGATTTTTAACCCCAAATCCATAGTCCTCTTCCACTGCCTGTGCAGCCTTTAGGGACAGTGGTGGGAAGGCCACAGTGGGTGGGATGGCCTGATGCCCCAGGGGAGTGCCTCCCACTGGGAGGGACATGAAGGAAGGAAGGGGGCTGGGGTGCCCTTACCTGGACAGCTGTGCTATAGTTGAGCTGGAAGAATCTGGGTGGGTTGTCATTGACATCAATGACTTGGACAGCCACGTCTGTGTCCTCGTGCAGTGGGGGTTGCCCACTGTCTGTGGCGCGGAGTCGCAGGGAGTAGCTGGGTATCTGTGGCAGGATGCACAGTGTGGAGTTGGTGCCAAGGCCCCCGGTGTCTGCCTTGGACCCGTTGCCTGCTCCCACTGCCCACTCACAGCCCTACGGGGCTCAGGCTCCAGAATCAAACAGAAGAGTGTGATTTCCAAACCACCCATCTCCGAGCTGTGAGACATGGGGGCGGGTAGTGTCAGGATGCACTTCCCAGGGTAGCTGTGAGGCTCACAGGGCAAGGTGCACTTAAGGCATCTAGTCAAGGGTCTGATGCCACCAGTCGCTGCCACTGGAGATTCCAGCAGGTGAGCCCTTGTCTGCTGTGAGAAGAGTCTGCCTTGGCTTCTCCAGGGAAGAGATGGGTCCCTCCACACCCTCCTGCCTCTGGCCTCTCAGTGCACAGAGGAATCATGCTGGACACTGTTATGGCATGAGGATGGGGTGTGGACTACCACTCCCTCTTAACCTGTCATAGGGCCGTGCTTCGTCTGGGCCCCTCCCACATGGCTTACCTGTTCCCTGTCCAGCGCCTTGGCCACCTGCAGCTCCCCCGTCTTGGGGTGAACAGTGAAGTGTCCCAGCTGGTTCCCTCCTACCAGGCTGTATGTAATGGCACTGTTCAGAGGCCCATCGTCATCAGCGGCTGACACCTGCAGTGGAGACAGGACTGTCAGTACAGGTACAAGCGCAACCAGAGAGGAATCATAGCCCTGGGCGTGACGGAAATGTTCCTTCTCCCAATGGCTGCCACTGGGTTGGCAGTCCCCACAGCAAGAGAGTCTCTCATGATCTCAGCATGCCATGGATTCCCTCCTTCCTATTCTACTCATAGTGACAGGGTACCGGGCTGGTCCCTAGGAGTCAGGAGACCTAGGAGTCAGGAACCTGTGGAGGTACATATGCCCTCAGAAAATGTCATGTCTAATGTTAGGGTGATTCTAATCATGATGGGTCTCAGGAGAGCTCGGAGTAGAGTGACAGCACACCTGGGAAAGTCAGAATTCAGGGAGCCTTGGAGGACAAGAGGGCTGTTGAGTGTGGATGGCACATTCAAGGCAGAGGCAATGGTGTGTGCAAAGTGGTCTGAATCCACAGGTATGTGTGAGGGAGGTCCTGGGTCAGAGAGGTGGAAAGAAGATTGGAACAAGATGGAGAGGGGTCCTGAGTATGGGCATGCTCCAAGGAGGGAGGGAGCGACTGTGTATGTAAATGCAAAGAGGTGTTATGTGCAACCTCTGTCCCTGTCACCCCTCCCCAGTGGCACTTGGTGTCACACTGTCATCAGGTGCTGAGCAGACCTCTGGTGTCCATCTCCTTGATCCTCTGTGGAAGCGTGCCAGTCCTGTGTCCTCTGTGGAAGCGTGCCTGTCCTGTTGGTGTCACACTGTCATCAGGTGCTGAGCAGACCTCTGGTGTCCATCTCCTTGATCCTCTGTGGAAGCGTGCCAGTCCTGTGTCCTCTGTGGAAGCGTGCCTGTCCTGTGTCCTCTGTGGAAGCGTGCCTGTCCTGTGTCCTCTGTGGAAGCGTGCCTGTTCTGTGCCCCATCAGAATCCTGCCTCATTAAACAGCTCTGAAATCTCCTATCATGAGACATGGTTTGGCTAAATAGCTACAAGTCATGGTCAAGTCCACAGTATGCTGACTTGCTAAGCCAGCCCGTACTCCTGATGACTGAGGACCCATGAGGGAGGAAGACAAAAACCACCCCAGAGTCCACAATCCACAAAGAGCAAAGCTGGGGGTCCTTACGGTCAGGATGACGTCACCCACAGTGGCATTCTCTAAGACCTTGGCCCCATACAGGTCATGGGTGAATCTGGGATGGTGTTCATTGACATCAGTGACATTGACCACTATGGTGGTCACATCACTGAGGGCGGAAGAGCTCTTCCGGCTGCATTCAATGGACAGGAGGTACTCGGGACTTGTCTCAAAGTCCAGGCTCCCATTGACGTACAGGATCCCTGTGGAGAAAGGGGGCGATGGAGGTGAGGCAGTAGCTGTCACATCAAGGGCGGAGGACTGAGGGAGGGGGACAAGCAACACAGGGCCCTGCATGGTTTCCCCCTTCACCTCCCTCTGTGTGGCCGCTTCTTTTCCCCTTGATCCCTCATTTCCCTTACCATCCCAGAGAGCTATGTGTCCCTCATTTATTCTGTAATCATTGACTTCAGAAGACAGAGCCAATCAGCCCACTGCATGCCTCCTAGCTCATGGTGCTAACTGCCCAGTGCCATCTGTGGGCAACTCTGATCAAACAGTATGGATTTGGCCTGATTAAGGCTTTTGACCCAAGGCCACTGGTAGGAAGTACAGACACCAGCAGGGTGTGTGAACATCATTATAAATATGCAGCCAGCCACCTATGATGTATAAAACTCTACCAAACACCTGATTTAAATATCTCATCAAATAAATGGCAGGAGGAAACAGAGAGGTCAGCAACTGAAAGAATCCAGAATCTGAGTGTGGTGGTCCACAGATGCAACCCAGCACTCAGGAGGCTGAGGATCATGAGTTTAAGCCCAGCCTGGGCTACATAGTAAGACTTTATCTCAGAGACAAGGAAAGAGATTAGAAATATTGTCTATCAACTAAGTTCAAGGTGGAGAACCTTTAGGAGAGCTGACAACCAGATTTTAAAAACACATGGATGAGATAATAATTAAAAAAAAACTGTTTGGGGCTGGGGATGGGGCTCAGTTGGCAGAGTCCCTGCCTAGCATTCATGGAGCCATGGGTTTGATCACCAGCAGCTCCTAAACTGGTGAGGTGGTGTCTGCCTGTAATCCCAGCACACAGAGAAGCAGAGACAGGAAGATTAGAAGCTCAAGGTCATCTTGGGCTACATAACTAGTTTGAGTCCAGCCTGGGATACATGAGACCCTGTCTCAAGGGTTACAAACAAAACCATCTGTTTGATTAGGTACTAAATGATATTAAGGAATGGTTATCTTTTAGTGCAAGGTGTGGTGGCATGCATCTATAAACTCAGCCTTTAGGAGGCTGAGGCAGGAGGATCTCCAGTTCTAGGCCAGCATGAGCTACATAATTAGATGCTGCCTCGAATTTTAAAAAGAAAGAGAAGAGCCGGGGATGTAGCTCTGTGATAGAACACTTGCCTGGCATGCTCAAGACCCTGGGTTTGACCTCCACACACCAGAGGAAAACAAAGGAATAATTTGAAACCTTTGGAGTGAGATGAGGTGCTGTGGTTGCTGTCTACGGATGCCCACTGAAGGGCTTCTGAGGGAAATGAAATGACGTCTAGGATTCATTCCGAAATCGCCCAGCGGGTACCAAGTACAGTTAAGTGTGAGGATGAAGATGTGGTGTTCGATGGCACTGTAGGGTGGATACAGCACAGCAGTGGACGATGTAGCTCAAAACAGCTGGAAGAGTCCAGAGGTTCTCGACACACGGAACAATACACATGAGGAGAAAGACCGTAACAGCTCCAATTTGGTTCTTATAGGCTGACCGTATTGAATTATCAAGCTTTATCCCACAAGTGTGCACATGTATTATGTATCAGCAATGAAATTTTCTAAGAATCAATTAAAATATTTTTAAACCTTACAATATAAATCAGCTCCTAGAAAAGGAAACAGAACAAAACTCAGCAGTGGGTGGGTGTGGTCTAAGGAGTAAAGACAGACTCAGGTGGGGCTGGATTGGTAGTGACTGATGCTGGCAGTCAGGACCTGGGGGCAGGCATTAAGCAACTGTGCTTCCCGTATGTCGAAGATCTTTGTAATAAAAATTTAAAAGCATACTGCCTGACGACAGAGTGGCTGTCAGGAGCATGGGAGGACTCTGCATGAAAGACAGCATTGAGGCCCTTCCAGGAGTCTCTACGAGTTTGATTTGGCTCCACAGCTAGGGGGAGGAGGAGGGAGGGGGAGGGGGAGCGCAAGTGTCCTCATTCTACACAAGTTGGCCACACATGGAAAAAGGGACCAGCTGATGGTCCTCTAGAGAGATGAAGAGGGTGGGTATGGATCCAAGGATGCCAGCTGCAGGAGGGGGCTGTTTGGGCTGATGGTACCCAGTGCACCCCATAACTGGCGTGATGGAGGGCTGGGCCTGCATCTGCTCATCTCACCTGTGCGAGCATCCAGTCGGAAATTCCCCTGCTCGTTCCCGCCTGTGATGCGGTAGCCCACCTTCTCCGCACCTGGGCGTGTGAGGGCAGCCAGATGCAGCACCCTTTTGTCCATCAGTGCATCCTCGGGCACCTGCACACTGTACTCCGTGCTCAGGAAGACGGGAAGGTAGTCCTCCAGGCCCACCACAGAGACTGTGACAGTGCCCAGGGTGGACAGTGGTATCGGGGTGCCCAAGTCAGAGGCTCGGACGGTGAGTTCCAGGACTGAGTTTGGTTTGACCTGCAGGGGTTTCTCCAGACGAATGACCCCTGAAGTGGCGTCGATGGAGAACTGGCCATCGGCAGAATCCGTCAGTGAGTAGACTACCTGGGCATTGGCAGCTGTAGAGAGATGGGGTGGGATGCACACCAAACCCATAAAAATGTTTGGTGGGAGGGAAATGGGCTTATTCACAAACGAATTGGCAACTTCCTGTGAACCTGTACTTATATCAAAATAGAGTTAAGAAAATGGGGGTGAGGACTGGCTCAGTTGATAAAGTGCTTATCCCACTGCATGGAGACCTGAGTTCAATCCCCAGAATTCAAACAAGTTGGGCGTGGTGGTACATCTTGAGAATTCTAGTGGATCTCTGGGGCTTGCTGGCCAGACAGCCTTGCCTAATTGATGAGCTCTATGTCAAAGAAGAAAAGACTTGTCTCAAAAAAAGTGGATTAACACCTTAGGAGTGACCCCTGAGGCTGACATCTGACCTCCACACATAGGAGCACACACATGCACACGCATGCACACAGGCCTGATTCTTTTCTTTGATTATGAAGCAATCAGCTTGTATAGGGCCCAGCAACATGTGTTGTTTAAACTGTGATATCCTTGCCCATAGGGACAACTACAGGTCCTGGGCCTAAGGATCTCATGCCACACACATGAGGGAGCACAGCCTGCTATAATGGGATTGTGGTGGGATGTGTCTATGAGGAATTTACAGTCATTGGATGTACCTACCATCCACAGCGATGACTAACACTGTCAGCTTGAGGAACTCTAGAATCACCAAGGAGACAAACTTCTGAGCATGGCCATGAGGGAGTTTCTAGGACGGATCAACTGAGAAAACCCGCCCTGGGTGCTGGTAGCACCACCCAAGGGGTTGCAGAGGAAATAGAGGCGAAGGCAAGCTGAGCGCCAGCCTTCATTGCTCTCTGCTTCCCGTTTGTGGGTGCGATGTGACGACAGACCCGAGCACCTGCCACCATGCCTCCCCTATGATAGATGGTGGAGTAGAACCCAGGGACTGAAGAACCAGGGATCTTTCACTGTTTCCTAGGTGACCATGTCAACAGGACCATTGTGGGTTGAGGGGTCTAGGGGATGTGTCAGGTTACAGAGGACTGGGACCAAGAACTGACAGCTATCAGCTCCAAAGAAGTGACACTTGATAATTGTCAGAGGACTCGTGGAAGGAGGATGCTGCCTAGAACCTAGGGAGCCTCCTGTCTCAGAACGTATGTAAGCAGAGGCCAATTGAGTATGAACAGGCCTTATAGCCAGCGGATGGAGGGGTAGATGAAGCGGCTTGCTCCAGCTCTGATATATTAAATGCAGCTCTGCATCCCAAACAAGTCTGTCTACTTGTGCCTGTTCCAACACACACACACACAGACTCACACACACACTCACACAGACACACACACACATGCACACACATGCACACACTCACACAGACACACACACTCACACACATGCACACATACACACTCACACACACTTGCACAGACACACAGACACACACAGGCACACAGACACACAGACACACACACACTCACACACACTCAGACATGCACGCACGCACACACACACGCACACACACTCACACTGACACACACACACACTCAGACATGCACGCACGCACACACACGCACACACACTCACACTCGCAGACACACAGACACACACACACTCACACAGACACACACACACTCACACACTCACACAGACACACACGCACACACACACACAGACACACAGACACACAGACACACACACACACTCAGACATGCACGCACGCGCACACACACACACACGCACACACACACACTCACACACTCACAGGTTTCCCAGGCCCAACTACCCTGTCTTTGCATTTGATGCTCACTCTCCCTAGAATACAGCATCTCTCCAAAATATTGCTCCTTCAATACCAAGCTAAAGTCTAGGAAGGCTTCAATTTGCTGATATCAAACAAGGTCAAGTGGCTGATTCCACTTTCACTGTCATCTTCGTCGTCGTCATCATCATATGTTGAGCTGACTACTTTGACCCCAAGAGCATGTTTTAGCCTACCCAAGTGATAAAATCTGACTTGGGAAAGTTGGACCACATTAGAATACTTCATGCTGGCTAGAACTGGTACAATGTGTAACAAAGGCTCTGTGATGAATCTTCTCGCTCTGTACTATGGCTTGAATGTGAACTTCATAGTTCAATGTTGAACACTTGATCTGTAATTCATATGTGGGAGATGCTTGGAGGTGTGGCCTTTGGGAAGTAACTGGGATTAGATGAGGTCATGAAGGTGGGGCCAGGATGGTATTAGTAGCTTTGCGGAAGGAAGAGGACGAGAGACCCAAGCTACCATGTGTGGTCTGGATCTCACCCTGTGATGCCTTCTGCCCTGTTACCACTCAGCAGGAAGGTCCCTCACCAGACCCTGGAACCACATACTTGAACGCCCCAGCCTGTAGAAATGTGAGTCAAATAAACTCTTTCTCTCTCTCTCTCTCTCTCTCTCTCTCTCTCCTCTCTCTGGTATGTATGTACATGTGTGTGGGATATACATACATGTGTGTGCTTGTGCAATGTGGATACCACAGGGCAATATCACGTGACAGTTCTCAGTAGCCATCCACCTTACTTTTCTGGAATAGGGTCTCTCGCTGGCCTGGGGCTCACCAACTCAGCTGGGCTGGCTGGCCACTGAGCCACAGGGATCCTGCTGTCTCTACCTCCCCAGCACTGGGATTCCAAACATACACCAGCATACTCAGCTTTTGCGTGCTGGGGATCAAACTTGGGTCCTTGGACTTGTGCAACAAGCATTTTACCATTATCTATTTCTCTAGTCTTAAACTTTTATTCTTTACCAGTTACCCAGTCTTTGGAATTCAGTTATAACAACAGAAAACAGACTAAGAGACCTTGAAAATATTACATGGAAAAGTAACCCAGAGAAAATAATGCTATTAAAATTAAAATGTAGAATACCAGCCAGGCGTGGTGGCGCACACCTTTAATCCCAGCACTCAGGAGGCAGGGGCAGGTGGATCTCTGTGAGCTCAAGGCCAGCCTGGTCTACATAGTGAGTTCCAGGTCAGCTAGGGCTACAGGGAGACCCTGCCTCAAAAAGACCAAAAAAAAAGAGAAAAAAAGTAGAATACTGGAACTGGAGATACAGCTCAGTAGATGCTGTGCTTTAAATGTGAACCGTCCCCTACAGGTTCATGTGTTTACTTGGTCCCCAGGCAGTGAGCCGGTTTAGAAGGCTGTTGGAACAGTTATAAGGTGGAACTCACTGGAGGAGGTGGGTCAGTAGAGGCAGGCCTTAAGGGTTTGAAGTCTTGCCCTACTTTCTGTCTGTTCTCAGCTTCCTGATTGTGAATACAATGTGACCAGCTACCTCTCCTCCCCTCAGCTTCCTGATTGTGAATACAATGTGACCAGCTACCTCTCCTCCCACTGTATCCCTTGATGAACTGTACCTCTTCTTAAACCATGAACCAAAATAAACTCTAGCTTCCTTAAGTTGCTTTGTCACAGCAACAAGTGACTAGCACAGCGGGAGGGAGCGTGCCAGCATGTGTGAGGCCCGGAGTTCAACCACCGGTACCAAACACACACATAAAAATAAAATACTGAAAACAGTTCAGCTACACTGCCTAAAAATTGATGAAGGAATTCAATAAGCTTAATGGACTTAAAGCCAAAAATTTCTTTCTTATATAAATTAATGAACTAAATAATTGATTGGTAGACTTCTGATTAGCTCTATTTAAAATGGCCTTGAGAAAAGAATGCTCTCCAGATTTGATGGCAACTGCAAAGGTTCTGCAAGTCTAAGTGGGGGTGAGGGGGCACCATGGGGGGAGGGCACCAGATTGAAATGCTTTGTGTCGGCCTTAGATACTGCTTAATCTACTTGTCACACAGCTTTGGGTAGCCAATTTTTTCTGTTCTTGAATGTCAACAGACTCAACCAACAGGCTTAGTCCTTGACAGTCCCAGAGGACACAGGATGATCCCCCACACCAAATGCCAAATGGAGCTAATGGCACGATAGCACGGGGATCACCAATCCTCACATACTCACCCTGGTCAGGATCCCGGGCAAAGACCACAGCTACAGGGGTCTTAACCGTGGTGTTGTCGAAGACAGCCACAGCACAGTGACTTGGGAAGAACTGCGGGGCGTTATCATTCACATCCTCCACGTGGAGAGTCACGTCTGCTTGGCACGATTCGCCCCCTCCATCTGTTGCCTTGACAACAAGGCTATACACATCCTTCCTCTCTCGGTCCAGGGTCGTGAGTGTGGTCAGCTCCCCTGTTCAGAGAAATGACAGAGGTTGAGTTTCCCGAAGAGGATGTGACATGCCCCTTGGAGAGCTGTGGGGACAGTCCTAGTCACAATTTCTGTCAAAAGGGAGCAGTGCCCTGTGCATACCACCAGGGAAGGAGCCCAGTACCCACAGCCTCCCTAATTCTCTTACCATGCTCCACTGTTATCACCACCCTTTAAGAGCTCCATCAAGATATAAACACAGCATTTTAAAGGCTAATTAGGCAATTTATAACACAGGAAATGTTCTGATATATAAAATTTAGCTCATAATTTCACTTGTAGGAATATATATACCTAGAATAACCAACCTGAAGATAACAATGCATACATAAAGATATCCTCTGGAGTATTATTTATAATAGCAGTAAGCTGAGATTATCCCATTTGCTTTTCAAATGGACACTGATTTACATCCTATTGTTTGGCAATACAGTAAGGTACCCTGTGGTGTCAGCTTTAGTTGCTAACGTGACAGAACCTAAAATCACCTTCAAAGAGCCTCTCAGTGAGGGACTGTCTACACTGGGTTGGCCTGTGGGCGTGTCTGCATGGGATTGCCTTAAGTTAATTGCTGTGGGAAGACCCAGCCCACTGTGGGTGGCCCCACTCCCTAGGCTGGGTTCCTGAACTATGTGAGTGGGGAAATTCAAGCTGAGCACAAGCAATCGAGCACACGTGCATAAACATCCCTTTGCTCTTGAGTGCGGATGTGACCCGCTGTTTGAAGTTCCTGCCTTGACTTCCCCACAGTGATGGACTGTGCCCTGGAATTGTAGGCTGAATAAGCTGTCCTCTGAGTTGCTTTGTGTTGGCGTGTTCTTTCACAGCGTCAGAAATGAAAGTAGAACAAACTGTATAATTAGAAATGAATTAGGACAGGGCTTTGTTTTCCCCTTGGAAATACAACTGTGGCTAAGGGAAGAGCAGCGTCCTATTTTTATGCAACAATTACAGGGAGATTTTAGAGGTTCATGGCTGGTACACAGCAAGCCAGCTTTGGCGATGGCCTATCACACAAGTTTTCTGGCTTCTGCCAGAACTGTGCTTTTGAACTCTGTATACTTAGCATGTATTATTTTTATATTCTGAAAACCCGCCCAGTTCGTTTTTCTTTTAAGTCCTCATGGGCAGTCCCTGTAGCTGCGCAAAGAGCAGCAGAGACAAGATGAGCTGTCCAAGTCACTAGGCACTCTGGGCTGGGGTCAGGAAGGACAACACCGTCTCCTGTCCACCCAGACAGCTTCCTGCGACACAGCTCTCACTGGTTCCCTCCCTGCTAAGGAATCTCCACATTATCATTGAGTTATGGACTCAAGCCACAGGTTGGCAGCTGGCCCCTGTGACCTGGGGCCTGCCTGGCTGTCGTCACCACTTACCTCCTGTGGCACAGTCCTAGCTGGGGGGCTTCTCTTCCCTACTCATCTCTCCAGCAGACCCCACAGCCCAGCTTCAGTCTGAGTACTCATGGCTCACTCTACAGGGCCTGTGTTCCCTACCTCTGCTTTCCTAGCCGTGATGCTGTGAGTCTGTCCACACCCAGTGAGCTCTTCCTCAGCCAGGCTTCCATAGGCTTTACTGCGTGTGATGTTTACTGGAGTCTTAGGAGACCTTAGCCCCAGTTTGCAGCATGCATAGCCTGAGATTTCATCCTTGACTTTGACACTGACTGGCCTGAGTCCTCTGGTGGCTCTCAAGGGTTTTGGCCTATCTGTCCCTAGGGCATCATCTTGTGTCTCTCTCCGCTCAGTGGGTTCAGTGTGCCAGCCCCTTTCTAAACAAGCCCTCGGGACGTGCTCCTCCTAGCTTTGGTACTCCTCCCCACCTTTCCTGTCCCCACCCCCGCCTGGCTGACTCCTAGTGTACCCCGGTGTCACACAGAATGGCACTTCCCCAGAGTTTCACTTAACCTGGTTGGAAGCTTAAGTCCATCTCTTCTGTCAGCATAGACGCTGTCTCTTCCTCCTCCACCTTCCTTGTTTTTTGTTTGTTTGGAGACAGGGTCTCACACTGTAACTCAAGCTAGCCTCAGACTCTCAACAATCCTCTTGCCCTAGCCTCCTGAGGGCTAGGATTACAGGGATGAGCCACCATACCTGGCCTGCACTGTCTTAACTTAGCAAAGGCAAGCCGTTGACTCAGCAATTGCTTTCCTTGCTCTGTGATAAAGATCTGGGTCTGAACTCACCCACCCTCTGTTATGTCCCAGGTGATAGTGCAAAGCTTGGCTCATGGTGCCAGTCTGGCTGCTGATGGTGGACAGGGGGACTTCTCAGAGGAGCCCACCACAGACCAGCAAGCACTGGTCTTCAGGACACAGGCTCTTAGCTTCATCCCACAGCTCAGAGACCCACCTGAATGAGGGTCCAACTTGAATTCCTGGGCCCCAGGTCCATGCAGGGAATATGTGATCTGAGCATTGGTGTCCGTGTCCACATCTGTGGCAGAAACTCTCAAGATAAAGTGTCCTGGAGAGACGTCCTCACGGACCTTGCCAGTATAGAGAAGCTGGAGATGGAAGAGGAAGATGGGGAGGTTGAGGTGGGGTGCTCAGTTCTAGAAGTGGGAAGAGTGACAGAGGAGGCAGAAGCAGAGAGACTAAGCAAGTTGAGACAGATGGACAGAGACCAGGAAGCAGAGGGGTGGGACCAGGGAGTGGAGGAGGCACAGGAGGAAGAGACTGTAAAACCAGGTGTGGTGGCTCATGCATGCAGTCCTGGTACTGGGTGGTGGGGGGCAGGAGGATCAGGAGTTCAAGTTCATCCTTGGCTACATGTAGTGAATTTGGGGCCAGCTTGGGCTATGAGAGACTCTGAGAAGAAAAAAAGAAAAAAAAGAGAAGGCAGAGGAAGAGGAAGAGGAGGAAGAGGAGGAAGAAGAGGAAGAGGAGGAAGAGGAGGAAGAGGAGGAGGAGGAAGAGGAGGAGGAAGGGGAGGAGGAGGAGGAAGAGGAGGAAGAGGAGGAGGAGGAAGTGAAGGAGGAGGAGGAAGTGGAGGAGGAAGAGGAGGAGGAGCAGGAGGAGGAGGAAGTGGAGGAGGAAGACAGGCAGCACTAACTTGACTCAGGAAGAAGAAGAAGAGAAGGAAGAGGAAGAGGGGGAGGAGGAGGAGGGGGAGAAGGAGGAGGAAGAGGAAGAGAAGGAAGAGGAAGAGGGGGAGGAGGAGGAGGAGGAAGAAGAGGAGGAAGAGGAAGAGAAGGAAGAGGAAGAGGGGGAGGAGGAGGAAGAGGAGGAGGGGGAGGAGGAAGAGGAGGAAGAGGAAGAGGAAGGAAGGGAAGAAAATAGAAAGGAGGAGATTAAAAGCCAAGGTCAGGTGAGCGTGCTCAGCAGGTGGGAGTTTGCTGTTACACAAGCCTGATGACCTGAGTTTGATCCCTGGAACCCACATAGAGGTGGAAGGAGAGGGAACCAACTCCATGAAGTTGTCCTCTGGCCTCCATAGGCATGCTAAGGCACGTGTGCCCACACAGACACCATACACACAAACACAATAGTAATAAATCAAATAATTTTTTAAAAAGCTAGAACAGAAGGTGAGGAGACAGCTGTCAATACGGTGCGCATCATGTAGGCACTGAGTCTAGATAACCATAACCCATGTAAAAAGCCTGGTGGGGGCATGATCCTATATCCCCAGCACTGGGGTCGGAGGGAGCTGGAGACAGCAGATCCTGGAGCCCATTGTAGCCAGCCTAACTGAATCAGTGAGCTTCAGGTTCACTGAGATGGTCTCAAAAAAAGTAAAGGTGGAGAGTTATTGAGGAGACACCCAACCTGACCGCTGGCCTCTCCATGCTGGCACACTCACAGGCCCACATACCCACAATTCACCCCTCACCCCCAGAGATGGAAAAAAAAAGTCAGAAGAGGCATGGCAGAGAATAAGTCATTAAACCACAGAATGAGGAGTTCCACCATCTGGAAGCTGATGCCCAGAGAAGAACCCGCCACAGCCCACTCCACAGGGGTCCTTGGAGGGGAGGGATGAGGCTGGTCTGGCAGCAGATGTTTCAGAGTATTAGGTCAAGTCCCGCCAAACCCCACCCCTGCCTTGTAGTGAGCTTCCAGGCTCACCTCCTTGCCCACGTTCCCAGGAGAAATCCCAGGCCTTTGAGGTAGATCCAGACCCCAGTGACCCTGACACTGCCCTTCCTTCCCTTCCCTTCCCTGCAGGGCCTGCGCATAGGGAAAGGCTGGAACCCCTGACATTTCAGTGTCCCTTATGTGGTTTACATCATACCAGGTTCAGGCAAGCACAGCCCCTGGGCACATTCTGGGTGGACACATCATGTCCAGGTGGACTGTGTGGGGTGGGCTCGCAAATGTTTTTTCCCTGCTCTGATGATGTTGTGTGCTATCTCTGGTGAGTGGAGGCTGAGCCTGATCCTGGCCCCTCCCAGCTCAGGGAGAGGTTGTAAGTAAGGTCAAATGGGAAAGAGGGAAAAGATGGCCACCTTTCTTCCCAGGAAAGCTGCCTTTCTGAGACCACCCAATATGTGCTCACCTGGACCCTGAAAACACACTTTCCAAGCTGACTGATACCTCAGGGTCTCTTGTGTTGTGCCTGTGAGACAGAGTATAAAAGAAAGGGAAAGTGACCGTGTATATGTATCACGTGTGCTACAGTGTGTGTCTATATGTGTTGAAGTATGTATACAAGTACATATGTGGGTAAGAGCATGTGAATTACATATAAGCATGTTTGTATATGTGGGTACGCAATTGCACCAGGTGTGTAGGCATATGCTTAAATGTATATGGTGTATCTGTATAGGTATTTGTATGGGGTTGTAGCTGACTCTGTGGGGATGTATATTTGTATGCATAAGTATGCATTGATGTGTCTGTAATGACTGGCTAGATTTTAGGCAGATATGAATTATGCTGTTAAGATATTATAAAATTCAAATGCTGATAATTTTACCTACGAACTTTGAAATAATGGAAATCCCCAGGAAAGTAAAAAATTACCCACTGTGTTTTGAAGGTAAAACTGTATAACTAGTGTTTTTAACAAATTATTCCATTACATTTATTTGCATGTGTGCATATGTGTGTGCATGCTTGCATGTATGCCATGACTACTGTGTGGAGATCAGAGGACAACGTGCAGAAGTTGAAGTTGAAGTTGGTTCCCTCTTCACCATGTGAACCCCGGGGCCGGAACGCAGGGCATCGAGCTTGGCTGCAAGTGCCTTTACCTTCCGAGGCATCTCACCAGTCTGACTTAGTTTGTGCTCTCTATGAACATATTTCCTCTCCTGTTAAACACACACGTGCCTATGCAGGTACGCAAACACACACACACACACACACACACGCACGCACGCACGCACGCATACCTCAACATCTGTACCCATGAGAGAGTTAGGACTGAATTACATGAGGATCCTGGGGAAGAGTGTGTTCCTGGATGGACCTGTCCTGCTTGTGTCTGTACATCACAGCTCCTGTCCTGGGGTGGTGCTACCTTAGCAGATGTGGGATAATTTGTATGTGGATGTGGGGAAGAGGTGCCAGGGGCAGGCCTCTGGAGGTATTAGACCACAGTGAGTCCTGCTGACAGCTGAGAGGAGAGGAGACGCAGTAGAGTCTGTTTGGAGGCCATGTATCCCTCTACTTCTGGATCCTTGTGGCAGAGAAGTGGCCTTTGTACGGAGTGCAGGGAGAGGGTTATGCACTATGATTCCTGAAGAGCTTAGCTATGAATAAGGCAAGAAGTTGCCTAGAATGTCCTGCCCTTGGGTACTAGTCTGAGGTCTGCTGGGAAGATACTGGGCAGGCAAAGTCAATGATGGCTTCTCATTTTTCCTGCCTTCCCTGGACCCTCTTTGCATCCACTTCCAATGCAACTCCCAACCCCTACTCACCTGTGAGCACTGCGGGCTGTTATCATTGATGTCCAGGACAAAGACCTCCACTGGGACTGAAGCCTGGAATTTGCCGTCCGATGCTGTGATTCTGAGTAAATACTTAGCAATGTGCTCACGGTCCAGGCTCTTCCTTGAGGAAATCTTCCACTCATCCCCAACTTGACTGATGCCAAACTGGCCCAGGGGGTCTCCCTCTAAAAAAGAGGGTTGCAGCTACCATAAACAGAACACAGATGAACCAGGCTTTGACTCCAAGGTGGCTGCGTACTTGGCCCTTCTTTCAGGATTGCTGAGAAAGGAAGGCAGAATTTTCTTCCCTTAACTAGGGACCTACAGGTCTACATGGAGTTGGTCTTTTGAAATTAGGGAGCAGCTTCTGATTTTAAAGTCTCCCTGTTAAGTGAGACTGCAGGAAACACCTTTCCAAAACCAGAAATAGGCTTTTACTTTTTGTGACCTAGAAGGCATTGGAGGACCAGAGGGAAGCAAACTTCAGATCTAGACAAGAAACGTCCAGGCCCCACTGTGACGCTGCCCTGGATGGGTGGGAAGAGTTCAGTGACATCAGATTCCAAGGTTGGATTATACCAGGAATGGCATGGATTAAGCAGGGGGTCATCAGGAGGCTTGTCTGTGACTTGTCTCTCTTAAGGAATGGGAAGATGAATTCTCACTCAGAGATTCTAAGATTTTCCCAAGATTTAGATCCTCTAAGAGTTGACTGTGGGGTTGGAGAGACAGCTCAGTGGTTGGAAGCACTGGTTGCTCTTGCAGAGGACCTGGGTTCAGTTCCCAGCACCCACATGACAGCTGACAACCATCTATGATTCCAGTTCCAGGGGATATGATGCCCTTTCTGACCTCTGTGGGCATTGCACATCATAGGCACTCTTACTGCATGCAGGCAATACACTCATGCACATAAAATAAAAATAATAAATAAAGGGCTGAAGAGATGGCTCAGCAGTTGAGAGCTCTTGCAGAGGACCCAGGTTCGATTCCCAGCATCCACATGGCAGCTAACGACCGTCCATAACTCCAGTTCCAGGGGATTTGATGCCCTCTTCTGGCCTCTGAGAGCACTGCATGACACGGGTGCACCAACCTACATGCAGGTAATACACTTATACACATAAAATTAAATTTAAAATTCTTAAAAAAAATAATAAAATATTTTAAGAGTCGATTTAAACCAGAAAAAAATAAGAATGGACTGCATATTTTCCCCTATATTTTCCTATTCTGAGATTTAAAAACCAGTGTTGTCAAGTATCTGATATCACAAGATTATAAGATTCCATTTTTCTAGGGATGTATTTTAAATGGCTGTCATTCTGTCTGTCCTAGAAGTCTGGGGTTCTTGGTTGGAACATTAGACTCATCAACTGTCCCCTGGACAGATGTACTAGCAGGAGCCGTTTTTATGGATAAGGGTGACATGGCACTGGGGTCAGGAGAAAAGAGGGTGCTCTCTGCAGTGGTGCAAGTTTGACAAGATTTAGAATCGCCTAGGGAATGTGCCTCTCTGTGTGTCTACCAGCGCACTTCCAGAGAGGTGTAACCAAATGTAGGCAGCACCAGCCCATGGGCTGGGGTCCTGGGCTGAATAAAAAGGAGAGAGTGAGCTGAGCACCAGCTCTCTCTGCTTCTGACTGTGGGCGAGTGTGACCAGCTGCCTCACCCAGCCATGCCCTCCCACCATGATGGACTGATTCTCTTCTTAACCATGAGTCAAAATAAGCCCTTCCCTCCTTACATAGCATTTGCTAGTATTTTTGTCACCACAGGAAAGTGGTTAATATGCTGGGTTGACAGCCTGTCTTGGCCTCTGTTTGGCTGGTTTTATCCTCTGGATGTGGAGTGGCGGAATTTCATTTTCTGATAGGTATTCACTGAGGAACGTTTATAGGGCTTGGTTCTAATCCCAGACCTTATATATACTCAAGAGTCCATGGCAGTCACCCTTACCTGTGATATAGCAGGTGACCTGCCTGTTCTTCTCAGAGATGTCAGCATCCAGAGTCTTCAGCGTGGTCACAAGCTCACCAGGCTCACCGCTCTCCACCACAGAACCTCTGTAGCCTTCAGAAGCAAACCGAGGGGCATTGTCATTCTCGTCTGTGATGGAGACCTCCACCAGGGCCTGGGAAGACAGCTGGATGGTCTGTCCATGGTCATAGGCCACCACATAAAACCGATAGGTCTGGCGGGTCTCGCAGTCAAGTTCCTGGAGTGTGGTGATCCAGCCAGTCTCACTGTCAACAGCAAAGAGCTCGTGGATGTTGCTTCCAGGCTCCACAGACAGCCTGTAGCTCACCTGCCCGTCACTCCCAGTGTCCTGGTCACTGGCAGTCACTTGAATGACCGTGGTCCCCCCAGGCATGTTCTCAGTGAGGAAAGCCTTGTACGGATCAGCCTCGAAGACAGGTCTGTTGTCATTGACATCTTCTACTTGGATGTTGACAGACACCAAGGACACTAAGTCGGTGTCCTCGTGTGGGCAATGTGCCATCAGATCAATCTGGTACCATTTGGTAGATTCACGGTCCATGGCTTTCCTCACCTTCAGAACCCCAGTATCTTGGTCCAAAGAGAAGACGCCGTCCCTGTTGCTTTCAGGCGTGGTGCCCTGGACCAGACTGTAGATGACAGGATCTTGAGCTGCAACTGCTTTCACAAACCCAATTTCAGAACCTTCTGGAAGGTCTTCAGATGCAGAGAAAGTATACAGAGGTTCAGAAAACTTGGGCAAAGATACCTCATTAGGAACCACCTGTAGTTGTACAGGTACCAGAGAGTCCCAGTGTGGAGGACCTCCATCCTGGGCTTTGATGTTGAAGTTAACAGTCCTGTTTTCCAGACCCACCAGGCTCTTTTTCACCTTGACCACACCAGTCATTGGGTTGACTTCAACGATCTCTTCAGCCAGGTCCTTGGCCGAGTCTACTGAATAGGTGACATCTGCATTCTGACCTTCGTCCGCATCGTAAGCCAGCACCTGGATGACAGGGGAGTCTCTACTGACGTTGGATGGGATGGAGACTGTGTACCCAGATGCTTTGAACTGGGGAGCATTGTCATTTTCATCTGTGAGGATGATGTTCACTGCACAGAAGGCCACTTTGCCCCCTCCATCCCTTGCCATGACCTTAATAGCAATGACCCTTTCTGTTGAATTTTCCCGATCTAGTTTCTGCAGAGTGGTGATCTGACCACTGGGGTTTATGGAGAACTTTTCGCCTGCTAGTTTATTAATAATGGTGTAGTCCACAGTGCCATAGGGACCGCTGTCTTTGTCTATGGCTAGCAACTCGATCACCTTCGTTCCCACCTTTGCATTCTCCGCTAGCTCAGCCTCATAGATGTGCTGCTGGAACTTGGGGCCATACTTGTTGGCATTTGTGGTGTTGATATACACTGGCACAGTCGCTCTGAAGACACCATCGGAAGCACCCACCCTCAAGTTGTAAGCAGAGTCCAGTTTCTTTTTGCAAAGGTTGAACATAGAAATTATTCCTGATGAGCTGTTGATGGAAAAGTGCCGGTCCTGATTGCCAGAAATAATCAGGTACTCCAGGCGGGAGGTGTCCCCGAGGTCAGGGTCGAGAGCTTGGACTTTAAGAACCAGGTGTCCACAAGTTGCTAATTCGCTGACATTGGCTTCATACTGAGGTTCTCTGAACTCTGGGGGGTTGTCATTGATGTCAGACACATTGACAACCACAAGCGTTTCACCAGTGAGTGGGGGATCTCCCTTATCCGTGGCCCTGACTTTCACATGAAAGTGTTGTTGGGCTTCATAATCCAGCTCTTGGACCGTGAACATCTCCCCCGTGCTCCCATTGATCTGGAAGAACTTGGAAACCTCTGAGCCATCCTCCACGATCTGATAGGAGATATCTCGATTCTGTCCTGAGTCTTTGTCAGAGGCCAACAGTTGGATCACAGGGGTCTGAGCAGGTAAGCCCTCAGAAACCAAGGCGGTGTATACCAGCTGGGGGAAGGCAGGAGGGTTGTCATTGATGTCTTCAACCAAGACTTCCACTGTGGCTTCAGAAAATGACCCCAGAGCTGTGTCTGTGGCTCTCACTGTGAACAAGTGCTTGTTCTTAGACTCATAGTCCAGAGGTCCCGTCACTGTGAGGACACCGGTCTTAAAGTCAGTGGTAAACAGCATCAAGGGCTCTTCCTCAACAATGTTATAGATAAGCCTCAGTCCCTCAGGACTCCGAGCCTGCGTGTGAAGAATTGGAGTATAGAGTGTGATATTTTCAGGGACTTTGACTCTGTAGTAAGGACTCTGAAACAGTGGGTTGGATTTATTTCTGACAGTGACAAGTACTTCTTCCCCAGTCTGTAGGGATGGGGTTCCTGCATCTCTAGCAATGACCTTGAGGCGATACTTATTCAAAGCTTGATAATCAAAGGGCTTCCTGAGTGATATGTCTCCAACATAGGGGTCAATCCGGAAATATGCATAATCCTCTGCAAAAGCATATGTGACTGTCCCGTTGGCACCCAAGTCCTTATCAATGGCAGATACCTGGAAGAGGACATCCCCTGGCTCGGTGCCATCTTGGATGACTGTGTAATAAGGCAGATGTTTAAACTCAGGTGGGTTGTCATTGACATCCTCAACAGAGACCTTCACCAGAGCCTGAGCCATCCGCTGAGGGACCCGGTTGTCCCTCACCTCCACTGCCACCTCGTAAGTGTCCTGCTGTTCCCGGTCAAAGGCTACTCCTCTGGTTTGCAGCACACCTGCCGACTTGACCATGTGAAATAAATCCGTGCCATTCAGGAGGAAGTAGGAAAGGGTGTCATTCAAGTGGTTCCCATGGACACCAGGAATCAGCAGCGCTGTTCTGTGCTGAGTGTTTTCCCTTACACATGCTCTATAGATATCCTGATCGAACTGTAAGCTTTTGTCAAGGACCTGGGTCACTGATATTTTTACCAGTGCATTGTCGTGATGCAGGCCATCAGAAGCCCTAACGGTGAGCTTCCGTGAGAGCCCCAGAAGAGCAGGATCCACCACAGATATGCGACCTGTGATGGGGTGAAGGGCAACAGCTCCGTCAGCATCCCCCATCTTGATGCTGTAGGTGACTTCTGAATCCTCATCCTTGGCCTGCACCGTGAGGAGCTCCATGCCCGGGTGGATGGGTCCTGAGACTGCTACTTCGTAGATCTGCTCTGAGAACCTGGGAGGAGAGTCATTCACATCTCGGACATGGATAATGACCTTGGCAGGCCTGGGTGCAAACAAGATGGGGGTCCCTTGGTCATGGACGTAAACGCTGAATTGGAAAGAAGGTGTGCTCTCATAATCCATTTCTGATACGATAGTTAAGGTCCCCATGTTGGGGTCAATTTTGAAAAACTTTAAGGCCTCTGGCTCCAAAATTTTATAGACCAACAAGGAATTAGCTTCCTGGTCTCTGTCTGAGGCACGGATCACCAGGGGGCTGTTGTCCTCGGCCAGGATCATGCTGTGCAGGGGTGCAGCCTCACTGACTTGGCCCACGAAAGTCGGCTTTAAGAACGTGGGTGCACTGTCGTTCTCATCGATGATGTAGATAAGCAGTAAGACGTCGGTGAACGCACCCGCCATGTTGCTGCCTCGGATCTTCAACTCGTAGGATGAGATTTTCTCATGGTCTAAGTTCTTCTGGGTGGAGACAAGGCCAGAATAGGAGTTCATGGAGAACACGCCATCTTTGTTCCCCTCCCTCAGCTCATAGGTGACTTCGGAAGAGCTTGTGGCAGAGACAAGGAGGATGGGGGCACCAACGGGGATCGATTCTGGGATCTCGATGAAGTACTCATCTTTTGAGAAGATGGGAGCACTGCTGTCTGAGCGGTGGATCTGAACAACCACCGTGGCCAGGTCATGCCACCGTGGGGAGCCTTGATCTTCTGCCTTCACAGTCAATGTATGCCGGGCATGGCGGACCCGATTAAGTTTCTGAGCTACCGTGATGATGCCCAGGAGGGCATCAATGTTGAAGAAACCTTCACTGTTCCCTGAAACAGAGGACAGGAAAGACTGACATTTACACAGTTAAGAGGCACCTTGGGTCAGTGAAGAGGCAACTGTACCACACTAGGGCAGGCCAAATTCTACATTCCAGTCACCCTGGATTTAGAAAGATGCTATATTGAGAGTATAGAGAGTATATACATACTACACCATTTTGAATATGGTGCCCACAGTAGGTACCTCCTAAACATAAGTTCCAGGGCTCACAAAGTCTCTGAGAAACATCTTGAACTAAAACCCCATACTGTCATCAGTAAGTCTTTGAAGTTAAGGAGACTTATACTTGCAGCCAAAACATACTCCTCCCTGAATTTCAGTGGCATCTGCTATAGGAAGAGTTTGGGTTCACCATGGAGCACGGAAAGGCGATCCCTCCCACTGCTTCCAATGGCCTCAATTATACATTTAAAAGACAGAGCCGGGCATGGTGGCGCATACCTGTAGTCCCAGCACTTGGGGGACAGAGGCAGGTGGATCTCTGTGAGTTTAAGGCCAGCCTGGTGTACATAGTGAGTTCCAGGATAGCTGGGGCTACAGGGAGACCCTGCTTCAAAAAGACAAAAAAAAAGAGACAGATCTGTAAATATGGAGTCACAGAATGCCAATGCTGATGGGGATTTTAGGCTACTATTCCTTTTATGGCCTGGTTACAAAGCCCCTCAGCACACTTAAGGATAGAGATGTGTGGGGAGAGAATGCATCCAATACCCAGATCTGCAGACACCTGCACTAATGCCTTCCACCTCGCCCACACTTCCTAGTCTCCAAACATTCTCTCGTCGTCTTGATAATTTTTTTCAATATCTACCCATCATCTGTATGATTTTATAATAGTATTTTATGGATATTTTCCTTTAAATTGGTTCACTCAGGATTTGATATTTTTTAAAAGGCAACTTTATTTTGGTCCTTTAAAAAGAAAACCATTTCTCCATAAATCAAAGGTTATCATAAAAGCCAGTCAATGAAAAAATCTTATTAAAATCTGGATAAAAGTTATTCCTTACTGAAGTATCC